CTTTGCGGTTTCTGTGTTTTGGTTGCACATGACGGTATTCAATTGTTTAATTGTTATAAAACAACAAAAAAAACAAGTGCAGTACGTTATGGTAGTTTTGTGGCACGAAAATTGTTTTACACGCTGTGCAAAATTTGACCAGAAAACAAACCGTTGATTTTATTTGTTAAATATTTATTCGACGCTTAGTTCTAACCTATTTAAAGTTACGTTCTCTAACACATTTGGTGTAAAAAAGTTGATGAGCCAATTAGAGCTATCGGCTTAAAAAACTTGCCTTTAAAACATCAAGTTAGAGAGAAACACATAATTTACATAAATTGAATTTGCAAAGTTCGAAAAAAATGTCGAGGGTAAAACAAACTTTAACTCGTAAAATTTAAAATGTAATTTTCTTTTAGCGCCAGCCCCAAAAGAAATGAGTTGTTTAGCTGCACGTCATTCAACGAAAAATAAGCTAAAAAGCTGTAGGAAAGTTTTTATTTAAAAATATATCTGCTCAGTACAGTTAAGTCTGCGTTGATTTTAAACACAAATTTATCAAATTTTACAAATTGCTTACATAATACATATAGTACTTACATAATAATTCTTTTCAATGCGGCCATAGCTAAATAGTTAGGAAATATGCTGGAAAATAAGTATCTTGTTTGAACTTGCATTATAAAAACGTTTTCATTATAATTAAAATCAAAAAAATGTAATTAATCAGTTAAAAATCCTTAAAGTTTATAACTTAATAACTACATAATTTTAAGAGACATGTAAAATACTTTCCATATCGAATGTAATAATTCTTAACATTTTTAAAATTATATTTTATTCAAAATGCTTTAAGAAGTTTCCTGCTTACATTAGCTATTTTGTAAAGTTTTCTGCAGAATTATTCAAATTCGTAGATAATTTTTGGAAAAAATGAATTGAAATGCTATTAAAAGATAATCCACGCATGCAAAAGCCAACAAAATTACCCAAAGAGACCACAAAACATATTTATGAAACAAAATTTGTAGTAGATTAAAGGAGTTTTAATTCGAATTTTCTTGAATTTTTTTTCCATTACTAAAAGAGAAATTTCTGAATCTTAATAATGAGTAGTTTATGGGGTTTTTTTGTATATTTTTTCCGCTTTACACTGCCGATTGTTGTTAACATTTTTTATTTCTCCATTTTGTTTAATTAAGTAGAAAATAAAAGGCTTAGCTGTCTATACTCTCAACATTAAAATATATTTACCTCACTTGTAAATTCATAATGTTTTTAAGAAATGTTAATAAATTGAAATTGAAATAATGAGTCCAGAATTCAGCTGCTACTTTTAGGCATTTGAAATAGCATACATCTAAGTATTAGTAGTAGTAGAAGAAGTCTTAGTCTTGATTCGCCTAAGTATTAGTAAGAAGTCTTAGTCTTGGTTCGCATAGGTTAAAGGCTTACTACTTGATTTAAATTTTCAATATATTTCACTTTTATTTGATTGTGTATGCCAACAAATAAAAACAAACCCTTAAGGATTTTTACTAAACGCTTTCGCCTCAGGGAAAGTGCTGTAATTATAACGCGTACGCCACATTAGCCCGCCAACCATGCAAACAAAATAGGGAGAGCCAAGCTTATTAGACCTCCTACAACCCTTTCAGTGTTGATTCTGATGCAAATTATTACGTCCTGGAAGAAGTAACGCCGCTAAATGGCTTCCTGGGCTTTGGGAATGTTTCCCAGTTGGGGAAGGGACAGGCGGCGGCAAGAGGCAGCGGTAAATATATTTTGCAAATTGTAATTTAAACATTTTGGACCGTAGCCAAGTAATAATTTTTGCGAGAACTGCAGCATCTTCATGGCCAACGTTTCCATAGCCAGTTAGAGCTGGCAGTTGAACTGCTGCTGCTGCTTTCTCTGCTCTCTGCTCCAGCTTTGCTTTTCTACATGGCTTTTCCTTCATATCCAGCTTGGCTGTTGCTCGTTCTGGCAACGGATTTGTACTTTGAATTGTGAAATAGCGGAATTGATACGCTTCGCTGCACTGAGCCAGCCAAGCAACCCAAGCATTGTTATCTTCTGCTTGCTTGTGTCGACCAACAGTTGCTGCCCCATCCACCGAGCGACCGCCCGCTGTTTGGCAGTACGCGGGGCATCCTCTTTTGCATATCAACATAACTCCTTCAGAATGGCATTATATTGCTTCAACATGAAAGTCAAGTGTTGCAGTCGCGCGCAATTATTTGCCCCGACCCCCGGCCCCCGACTGCCACTGCTACGCCTGTTATCCTTTCCAGCAGCGCCGCTCTTGTCGCTCGCTGATCTGTTGTGGAAATTTATTTTCGCACAAACGAATCGTTCGCTGCAATAAATTCTATTAAAATGCAATTTGAAGGGTTTTGTGATTTTAAATAATGCCGTCGCTTTTGTGGGCGTAATGCGATCGCACACACACACTTCTCTTCCGCTTTCGTCCTTCTATTCCTTTGGTTGCTGTCATTTCCTCCTTCCGCCTTCGTCCTCTCCTCAATTTTGTGCAGATGAAGATTTATGCAATGATTATGCACGGCACTGTGTACGTAACGGCTTTCGTTTCGCAACTAAACGTGAGGTCAATTGACAATATTTATGGCCTACTTGTCTGACAAAAGAGTCACAGCATTGGCAACATAATTAGGCTAAGTGGCCAACAATTTCACAGCAAGTGAGAGATACATCGTAATTATATAACTTCTTCAGGTGCTAAGGTAGCGACAAAGTAAAAGCAACCATAAACTGAGCTTTCATCAAATCGATGCATTAAAGGTAGTGATGTAAGTCCGAAGTGAACATCGATGTTATACATCGGAAACGAAAATCACCATGACAAACATCGATGCAGAGATGTATCAAAAAACTTACAACTATGCATCGATTTTTACTAAAAATCTTCAATTTAAAACAAGGGAGAAAAGGGTAATGTCAATCGGGCTGAACTTTTAATTTACGAGTCTCAAATACCCTATACCTACACCTGGGAATAAAAAGAAACTAGTTGCCTATGTAATGTAATTAACATTAATCATAACATTTTAATTCAACAAGTAAAAAAGCTAAAGTCGGGTGTCCCGACTTTGAAATACTCTGTACATATGTTTACAATAATTATAGAAAATAAAAAAAATTAAGAAAATAAAAAAAAAATTTGATCGATTTTACCTCTCTCGGTATTCGAACTCACGTAAAGGGTGTATAATTGCACATTTACATAGCAATTGCGTCTGTGTGAGTGTATGTATGCCTATGCGCATCAATTCGTGTCTGTGTAAGCATTTTCGCAGTCAACCAAACAGCAACATCAACAACAGCCGCGGGCAGCGCTTGAGCAGCGCTGCAGCAGCGCTGCATCAGCAAATTTATTTATGGCTATAACTTCTTGTTAAATCGGTCTATCATAATGAAATTTGGCATACGGACACATAATAACTAACTGGGGGTATTTCCAAAATTTTAGTTCGAAATTCCAAGAATTACGGGAGTTACGATTTGCTTGGTAGAGGGGGGAGGGAGGGGAATTCCAAAATATACATTTTCTGCGTATTCACATAAGGCATTTGGTGTTCCTAGGTCTTATAGTCTCCGAGATATAGGCGATTATACGAATGGAAAATCGGGAAAACCCCCATAGGGGGGAAGTGGGGGGGAAAATCAAAAAAATAAAACAAACTCGTATAGAATACACACATAACGCATCTTCGTGCAAAATTTGGTGTCTCTATCTCTTATAGTCTCTGAGATCCAGGTGTTCATACGGACGGACAGACGGACAGACAGACAGACAGGGCTAGATCGACTCGTCTCGTCATGCTGATCAAGAATATATATACTTTGTGGGGTCTGCCACGCCTCCTTCTGCCTGTTACATTTTTCAGCTCCCGCAAACCTAATATACTCTTGTACATTTCATGTACAGAGTATAAAAACATGTCATATATTTAATAAGTTGAATAATAACAAAGTGTTCTTAAATGTTAACATACCATTCATCGGTATTAAAATTGTTTAAGAATATCAATTTGGATAGCTGCTCTGGCAATATGCGGTTACGCCGTTCATTTAAAATGCATCATGCCGCTGAAAGAAGTCATTCGGCTGGCACAGAAGTCCCAAGTACAACAAGGGAGAACGCTACAGTCGAGCAAGCCCGACAGTGTAATACCCTGGACCCAGGTAAACTTCCGTCACTGAGTTATATGCGCCCATAGCAGCAACAAAAAGAGGAAGAAGAAGAGCGAACTTGTTGCTGCAGTTTGGTGGGGTTGTACTGGCGGGAATTTGTTTCGCTAATAACTTTTCTTAGAATTGACCGAATTGAATAAAATTTTAGGTAGCATTTGAAATGTGGACGCTATTGACGAAATTCTGTAGCGGGGGAAGGGGGGGAAAATTAAAAAAAAAAAAAATAAACTCGTCCTTACTCGGACCTAGGAGAATCTGGATGCCAACTTTGGTTATTCTAGCTTTTATAGTTTCTGAGATCCTCGCGTTCATCCAGACGGACGGACAGACGGACGGACATGTATAGATCGATTTCTCTTACTTACTTTATGGGGTCGGAGATGCTTCCTTCTGTATGTTACATACTTTGCACAAACCTAATATACCCTGTTTACCCTACGGGTACAGGGTATAAAAAGATACTGCTTGGTAAAAAGTAGTTTTCAGTTAATTCGAAGTCTGCAAAGGGCATACGTTGTGCAAGCATTTTTAAGAATCGTAAACATCAGTATATTTCGACTTTAAAATCGATGTTTTTATAACATCGCATCTAGAAACATCGAGCTAAAATCGAAAATAATCGCTAACGTAAAAATCGATACATGGATGTATCGACGCATATTTACATCACTAATTAAAGGTGCCATAAATAAAATGATTGATTGGAATTATTTGTTTGAAAGTTTATTTAATTGAAAGTTGCTGTAAAAAGTGTGGGTACATCGTTTTTTTTTTCTTTTTTCTGCTTTGTTTTTTTTTTTTTGTTTGTTAAGTGTTTGGTTAAGTCATAGATTCATTCAATATCCAATTCCAAGTTAGCTTAGACTGTTAGCCTTCTCTTCAATCCAATTCCGCAGGTCAGCAACATCGGCGAAAACACCCACAGTTGAACAATCCCCGGCAGCCCAAGAGACGACGCCAACAAGCTCACCGTTCACCACCAGTGGGCCACCAGAGTCGCCACTGCACACGGTTTCTCCTGGCCTTCCAGCACAAATCATAGTACCTGTGACTTGACCACCAAAAATTTGCTGGCAGCTCTGCTTGCTCACGATCCTCACATCCACGCTCTGCAAAATGTCTGGCAGTATGCCGCCATTAGTAAATCCCCAACCAGTAACGCGAGCACTGGCATCATCTGCCGGCGCTTTTCTGGCCAGTTCAATGGGTTGAGCTGAGGCACTGAAGATTATATCGTCCACTAGGCGTATTACCGCAATATCGTTTGCAAATTTTGGTTGATTATGCTGCTCGTGTTCAATATAGTTTCGAACCCTGATAACCTTTCCATCGTTTTTGTTGTTTGTGGCACCAACGCGCACTGTCAACACATCTGGACTTTCTCCTTGAACACAATGAGCCGCGGTCACAATGATGTTCTTGCTGTAGATGGAACCACCGCAGATATGCCAGCCTTGTTTCTGCAGGGAGATCTGCCACGGTGCCGCCTCAATCGTCGTATCATTGCCGCCTATTATGCGATTATCTACATGCAAGTTAGTCGGCAAATGATGAGCGTCCAACAGGACAACAGCCGAGAGCAGTAGAAAGCCCTTAATGGTAAACATGTCAATATTTTGAGTAACACTCTGAAGTTCTTAGCTAAGTTCCGCTGCTTTTATAGGAAAATTCTCCACAGTTATCACTCAAAAGCAATTAAGCTTTTGGTTTGTGTTTCAATCATTTTAAATGCGCTGAGCTAAGGAAATATTTTTGTATTTAGTGAGAGGTGGATTTATGAGCTGATATTTTAAACTAAAACGTCGGCCATACAACCTAAGCTATTACAGGCGGGTTGTCAATTCTGCAAAGCTAATGAAAAGTACAGACACCCCAACCTCGGTTTCTTTATATGTACCAAGAGAGTTCATTAAATAAGTTCGTTGTATTATTTTGATAGAATTTCTCAAATTTAATCAAGAACATATAATTGTTATTGCTAATGAAATAGTTCAACTTAAACTTCCCATTAATAACATTTCATTTGTCTTAAACTTGAAGCAGTTATGCTAATAAAACTGACTTCTATATACAAGTATATAATATAGAATGAACTAATCATAAATTGTGGAAAGTTTCAAACTTGAACTTATGTACTCTTACTTGGTAGATACATAATGATCAGTTTTTAATTGCGAAACGCGTAAATATGTAAATTTACAAGTGATGCTTAAATACTGATACATGGTCATATATTCAATGTATTTATTTTTGTTCGTCGATATCGGCGTGCAATGTCTATAGGTAGATTATTTTAATAATTTCAAAGAAGAACGAAAATCAATAAAACTATTATTGGTTTATTCGAAAGAGATACCATTTTCTTTATTCTTCAAAATAAAAATGTGTAACTTAGTTTTTACTTAAATACACATTTTTATTTTTTTTTTTATTGTACATAAACAAGTTTATGCTTCTTTAAAATATTCATAGATTCAGTATTATTTTTGGATGATCTTGATAACATCAAGGACTGATTATGTGCTTTAATTATATTTTCTATTGCTAATGGTATATTATGTAGCCTTAATCGAAACATTTTAGCTTAGTCTAATCGGTAATTAAAGTAATAACAATTTGTGAGTAAAAATAATAACCTTTTCAGTTAGACTATTCAATTAAATTCAAATAATTTATGTAATTATTAATAAATCAAGTCATTTAGATGTTCAGTTTACATATTCATATCTGCTATTCAATTAGTTTAAGAATTTCAAAAGTAAAAAGTTAAGAAAAAAATTATACTTATCGGAAACATAAATCCTAAACCATAAACTCCTGCAAAATAATAGACAACCATTGACGTATTTTTCTTATCGTAGTGCTCGTTTATAATTAGCTTGGAATAAGTAAAGTGTATATTGGTTTTACAAATTTTAGAGATAGTAAAGAAAAGCTTAGTAATTTTGTTTAAAAACAGCGAAACTAGAGTCAATTGCTTAGTTCAGTTGGACTCCAGAGCGACATGTTTCTCCACAATTGCATTTTTCTGCTCTCAACTGCCACCGTGTTGGTGGCTTACCACTTGCCACATCGCATCATAGGTGGCAGTAATACATCGATTAAGAAGGCCCCCTGGCAAGTCTCCCTGCAGTACAGAGGCCAACATTTTTGCGGGGGTGTCATCTACAACAGCAACATCATTCTGACCGCAGCCCATTGTGTTGCCAAAGTGAGTGCAGATTCGGTAAGAGTGCGAGTTGGTTCCGCAAATAAAGAGAGGGGTGGACGAGTATACAGTGTCCAAGAAATTATTGCACACGAACAATTCAATAGTCCAGCATACTCCAACGATATAGCAGTATTGAGCTTAGTCGATCACATAACATTCAACGACAAAGTCAGGCCGATTCAAATCGCTGAGGAAGAACCAGAAAGCGATGAACTTGCAAACGTAACGGGTTGGGGTATCACCGAAAATGATTCCTTGCCAATAACTTTGCAAAACGTGGACGTCCGCATCGTGAGCAATGACGTTTGCAGAGAGAAGTTCGGCTATTTAATCACAGATAATATGATCTGTGCTGGTCGGGAGGGAGAAACCTCATGTCAAGGCGACTCTGGTGGCCCATTGGTGGTTAATGGTGAGCTTGTTGGAGTCGTCTCCTTCGGACTAAAGTTCTGCTCATCCGTAAGTGTCTATACCAATGTCGTTGCTCTGAGGCCATGGATTGAAGAGGCTGTTGCTGCTCTCAGTTTGCCAGAACATAATACTATAAATTAAATGTTCCATAAGTAAACTACTCATGAGTTTTTGATTTAATTTTTTCCCCGCTTTTTTTAAATATTAAACTGTTAAACCGTAAAAACACACTTTATATATATTTAAGTTGATAAGGTTTTATAACCTGTACTCTTTATTATTAACTAATTATAGCTACTCACCAATTTATGATGCCAATTTTAGTGAATAAATGAAATGAAATGAATATTAAATGTTCTTGGCAATGAAAGTTTCTAATAAATATTAATATTCTACTAATATAGCAGTAGAAAGTAATGTAATAGTTTATTGATTTTCCAATCCGTCCATGCTTTTTAAAATTAAAAATAGTTTACAAATAAGTTTAAAGAAGATCTTATTGTTTCTTAAAATGAAAATTAAAATTATTTAATTAGATATCATAAAGATATATTTTATTGCAAAAACATATGTATTTAGAAACTCAAAAACACAATATTTGGAAATAAAGCTTATTTTAATTCTTTTTTTTTTACCATTTCTTGTCAAACTCGGCATCATAAGCTAAGAAAACCACTTGAATGGTTTGTCTTATGGCTTCATTTGTGACGTAAGTAGTGCAACATTTTCCAATCCATTCCAAATTGTGTTACAATGTGGAAACAGTAACAGTAAGCTGCTAGTAGTATATAGGTGTTGAAATTATATACATAGCTTGCGAATCAGTAGCAAAATTAACTCAAAAATGTGCAAACAAAACTTTGTAAATATACTTTGCAACACCCACTTAAGCAAAAAGTTTTATCATACTTATAATTATTGAAAGACAACAACAAGTTATTAATGTTATGTACCATGCACATTCTTTTCAAAGATAAGAAAGCTAACCGTGGCGAAGCGGAAACTTTTCTTATAAAAGCAGCAGAGCCTACTACTAGAGGTCTTTAAAGTGCTCCTAAAAATAGCGACATGTTGGTCTCAAAGGGCTTTCTACTGCTCCTGGCTGTTATCCTATCGGACGCTCATCATTTGCCAAAAAACACGAATATAAGCCGCATTATAGGCGGCATTGATTCGACGATTGAGGAAGCACCCTGGCAGGTCTCTCTACAGCTCTCTCTTCTAGGAATCATAGGAATTCACTTTTGCGGTGGCTCCATCTACAGAAGCAACATCATTGTGACCGCGGCCCATTGTGTAGAATACTTGAATATAACTCCAATGTTCTTCAAAGTGCGCGTTGGTTCCTCAAATAACAGAATTGGTGGAAGGATGTACGGCATTCATAGCGTTATAAAGCACGAGCTATATGATAAATCAAATTATTCATATGATATTGCGGTAATACGCCTATTGAACCACTTAACATTCAGTGCTACAGCCAGACCGATTCAACTCGCTACAGTAACTCCGCCAGATAATGCCAATGTTCGCGTTACTGGTTGGGGTAAGAATGCCGCTGGGATTTCACCAGCAATTTTACAAAGCGTTGATCTACAGATCGTTAACAAGCAGCGCTGCCAGCAAAAGTTTAGCGATTTAATCACAGATAATATGATTTGCGCTGGCGAGGAAGGAGCAACCGCATGCAGTGGCGACTCTGGAGGCCCGCTGGTACATAATGGTCAGCTTGTTGGTGTCGTCTCTTGGGGTCGCGAACTTTGCTCAACTCATGTAGTTTTCGCCGATGTTGCTGTACTGCGCAATTGGATTGAACAGGCGGCCAATAGACTTTCCTATGAATGAAAAATTAAATAAATAAATAGATTCGAAAAACGGGAAGCATAAACCAATCGTGCTACTCAAACTCTTTGAATGGGCCATACGAACTCTTTTTATTTAAACTCGATAAAGTAGTTAGTTCCCTTTTCGTACCACACGAATACGAATTCGTTCTATTTAAACTCGATGAATATGTAAGCTCGTTTAGTTCCCTTTTCGTACCACTCTTTGACCCATTTGGCCCACATGCCAATAAAGAAACTATCACAACATTTCAATCAGATAATTTGGACATAACAGTTGCATAACCAAGTTTAATGCAATTTGGCCATAGTCCACAAAACATATCGCTGCATTGCCAAAAATTTACACACACGCACACAGATATGAATATTGGAAAATGGGCGGAATGCAGGCGCGATAAAAACATTCCAGCACATTTGCATGTTTACAGATGGGCAGCATGAAACAAATAACGCACTTATCGTGAGAACAGGAAAAAATGTCACACGATTACAGAAAATAGACAAAAATAGAGCGAATGGAGGTGGAAACAAGGTAAAACATTGTATTACGAAATCGTTGTATCAGTTTCGCTGGAAAACTCGAATTTTTTAAAGCAAATGTTGGAATTGAAATTTAATTTATTTGCGCAGCACGCCCACGAGTTCACAATTGGGGCCACGAGCGAATATTATTAATACGCCCCGTAAGCCCAATAAATACACGTAATTTTCGATGTACGTTGTTGCTGCTACTGCTGTTGCCATTGTTCTTGTTGTGCTGTTGTCCTGCTGGGCCCTCCATACATGTTCTTTTTTGTTGTTCTCCTTTCATTGTTTTTTGTATTGCATTCATATTGTCAGCTGCGTTGTAAGCGTGCGTTAAAATTGGCATTGTTATTGCCGATGTTTTACGGTGTTTTTGGTTTTGTTTTCGACATTCAACGGCTCGACCTGCAGTTGAAAGTGCAGCTGCTGTACACGTCACCTTAAATTATAGCACAAGTCCATATAAAAACGTACATGCGAGTACACATGCGCAGTGCGCGGGTAATTCAAAAAGTTTCAATATTCACAAGCGCCTATATTTCTGAAACTTATTTTGAAAAACAATGCTTATGTTCAATATGTTCCTGTACATATTACATACATATTACGAAGATTACTGCTTTGTCATAGATGGCCCTGATTCGTAATAAGCTACTTATTTGTAGACAGAGAAAAAGCAATAGCCTTGATCCTTAAATTAGTCTCTTGTTGCATAAGTTTTCGTAATATTAGGAAGATTACTGCTTTGTCATAAATGTCCCTGATTCGTTATAAGCTATTTATTTGTAGACAGAGAAAAAACAATAGCATTTATCCTGAAATTCTGTTATTGGATAAGTTGTCGTAATATATAGTTTTAATTTTTTGTGAAGTTCGTTATTATTTAACTCGAAACTTGTTATTTCAAGAAAGGTTTTTGCTATCAAGATGTTGATGTTTCTGAGTGACGATCTTATTTCTCTCTCTCTCTACATATGTATATAGAAAATAAATTTGTAAAACCATTTTGTAAATAATTTGACACGTAATTGATATATTATACTAACTAGCAAATATATAATTTGCTCTCACACTTTTCTCTCAATTTTACAGCAAAAGTCCCAAAAAAAAAATAGGAATTTTAGTAAATTTTCGACGCCATTAACAATTTTAGATTAATTTATACCCGATTCAAGAAATGAAATACGCAAAATACTAAAAAATATTAAGTAGAAAATGAAATAAACAGAAATTTATTCGACGAGAAGTGTTCCTTCTATTATTCTATAAATGCTATCAAATATTTGACAATGCAAACACAAACGGATAATTTAGTAGATTTCTATCGTTGATTCCAAATTGAAAATAGTTATAAGGGTTTTTGCGTACTCTTCATATTCAATTGTTCTATTATTTTTATGAAAAAACAAATTAACTCAATCAATTATCAACACCTTTATTATTTTTTAAAATAGTGTGAGAATACCAGCAACGTCTTATGTGTCTAAAAAAACGATTAAAAAGTTCAAGTGCGTAAGTTCCTGATATTTGGAAAAGAGCATGTCTTTCAGGTTGCAATTCAAGAACAAGTGAGCTTGATTTCGCTTTGTTTTTAAATAAAAGAAAGCTCCATTTATGTTAAATTTTACTCAAATAAAGCAAACAATATTGGGATATAGAGAACACAAGCAGAACTGCCTGTTTAATTTGCATTCTTTGAGCAATTCCAACCTTATGCGAGACCCCACATTATTATTCTAAGCTATCTTTTCAAGGAATATGTTTTCAAAAACATTGCTCTCAATCCAGCATAATTTAAACGATTTTCGATAAATGTGCGTAAAATGTCCTTAAATCCTTCAACTTTATGGTCGATTGTTTAAACTTTCCGTATAGCCCCACGTGTGTGTTCACAATCCGCGTTGCCATTCGCACTTCGTCAGCAGCAACGCATTAAAATAAATGAGACTTTACCGTAAGTAGCTGTTTTCCCCTTTTGTGCTGTTGTTGTTTTAGCTGCTGCTGTTATTGTTGGTGATGCAAGAAAAAAAAAACGAAATAAAATGCAACACACATTTTCACGTTTTCAGATAAATTAAGCGTAAATTACAATGCATAACGACGTTCGCCATTCACACGCAATCGAAAGCACCACCAGAGCTCAGTTGTTGTCAGTCGGTTTGTTGCCTTGTTGTTGCTGTTGCTGTTGGCTGACTTTGCAGCACATTTTTACGCATTTGCATTGCAAGTTGCAAGTGCAGGTGCAGGTGCAGCATCGTCTGTCATTCCGTAAATCCTACCTTGCCCGTCGGCATTGCAATCTAGCGTTGTGACCTCGTTGACGGCTGTTGCCGATTCAGCTGATTTTGTTGATGCTCCTGCCTTTGATGATGCTGCTGCTGCTGATTCTGATGTTGCCCCTGCTCAGCCGAGGCAAGGCGCTTAATTACTTTGTAAAACTCGTTGAAACAGGATACAGATGCATGCCGGCTAGCAGTCAGACAGACTGATGGGCAGATGCTTTGACGAGCGTGTCTCGTTAATGTTATTTAAATTGAACTCCCAATTTGGCTTTTGGAGCTCCGATGAAATAAACTGTTAAACAAGGTGTAGTGTGGCACAAAGAAATGGCAACCGTCTCCATAGCATTGGGTAATCAGTGTCAATATGCCTGCCAAAGGCAAAAGGCAAGGACACACTTAAATTGTTCAAATACTCGTAACAGCTACCAAAATTAAATATAAAGCTCGTAGCTATTTTTTTATGAAAATCTGCATTAATTGCAGTTCATCTTTTATTTATTTAAAGTTCTCTTTGGATAAAATAATTATTTCGAAATGCTATCTAAAGTAACAATTTTCCAAATTAAATAGAGCGCTTATATGTCGCTCAAACGATTTCATAAAAAGTTGTCATTTATATACCCTTATAAGTATGTAAACCCCCTTTGTGGTCTTTGGTTTTCAAATGCTTTTTATGAAGTAAGAGTACCTTTAATTATAGAAGTACTATCATTTATTTTACATTCGTAACCTGAACTTAGAGCTTTGCTACTTGTTTCTCATAAGCAAGCCAAGGAAACATCACTAATATTTACTAACTTAGAAAAACAAATATCGTGTTAAGAATAAGCAATCATATTTTTTTTCTTGAGCTCTGTCCTGAACTTCTTCTTACGTTTGCAAGAATTTAAACCAAGGAAGAGGAGGTGCTGCTTTAAGAGTTTGAATATTTGTACTATAATACTATTATATTAAAATCCATCCCATTCTTATTACAGATATCTGTTGCACACATTGTTGCATTTTTTGTGTGAGAAATAGAAAGAAATGGCTTGTAAAAAATTTAATAAAATGCTAAAGTCAAGTTAAACCTTAAATAAACATTAAAGATTGAGGTTTGTTCTACATATGACAATTCGATGCGAACGTCTTTCTAAAGTTTCTAACATCACTTAAATTATAAACGTATAGGTAAGCAATAAAAAATTGCCGCAAACAAATCTTTAAAACGCAACAGGAAAATGTCTTTAATCCAATAAAATTTGGTTTGCACGAAACCGGTGATTGTTGCTGTTGGCTTCACACCAACAAACCACCAAGTAACACATACATCTATATGTATTTCATAGATATGTATATGTAGGAGGTGTCGTTGCGTTGGCAGCACGTCAAAGTTGGCAACCTGCCACGAAAAAGCTGCAGGCCTCACCAGAAAGTAAGTCAACATGCGAAACGATAAAGCTTTACCTTTTTTTTTAGAAGAGGAAGAGAACCAGCAGCAACAACATCAACAATAACAGCAATAACAACGGCAACAGCAGCAATTGTGATCATAACCAGAAACGACAATCACCGTAGGCGCACATATTTCCCATTTTTTCCCGCAACGCTCAAAAGTAGACTATGAATTTTCATGGCAAATTTGCTGTTTTTAATTTCAACGCGCACGAGAATAAAAATAAATAAAAATAAAAGCAAGAATAACGCAACAAGCCAGACGCGAGAGAATGAGAGGCAACCGCCAGTGGCCATATTTTGCAACACCTTTTGGCCGCACAGCCCGTCGAGACTTCGGGGGCAACACTCCTGACCCTGTGCCACATGTCAGTCAAAATGTGCGACACGCCTACGGCATCGGCTGCAGCCGCACTTTATATTTATGGCGAAAATTCAAAATTAATGACGTGTGACGGGGAATTGTCGCAAAAATGTGTCAAATTAAATTTGTGTCGACGGCACCAGGATGTGGTGGACGTTAAGGACCGGCCAACGATTTCAGCTTTAAGCATAGCCAGCCATATGCCATATGGCTGGCATAATTCTTATATTTTTTCGAGCATGCCATCCAAATTTTGTCGACGTCGTTCCCAAATAATAAATAAATTTAAATAAATCACAAGCAATTATTGTGCAAATGGCAAGCGAAAAAAAATCGCTGGTCAGCTGCATTAAATGTATTCCCTCGCAGTCAGAATTAAAAAAGAAGCGCCCGCCAGAACCGGATCAATTTTCACCCGATATTATAAAAAGCACCGTACTCCAAGAGATCAACAAATATCGGCGCATGCATTGCGCGTGTCCTTTGCAGCTGCAGGAAAAGCTGATGGAGCAGGCGCAGGCTTGGGCCGATGTGAGTAGTCAGTGAAATGGTAGCATATTAAGTGAAATGAATACTTTAGTGAATGCAACTTATTTGTGGGAAGGAATTACATTCACCACGCACATTTTTTGCATTAAGTTTATTATTACCTCACCTCCGAAGTGAAGTATATCCCAATGCCTAATACTTCTCTATATACAAGTATGTATGATTTATTCGTTTTTAATTCCTCCACACTACTACCATAGTTTTAGGTTCACATATTTTCCATGATCAATTGTTTAAAGCTTTCAATTTAAATTTTATTTCAACAACTACACCAATTATAGCTTTTTATTTTACGTTCAGTTGAATTTATTGTGATCAGGACGTAACGAAACGACTCACTAAATTACTAAAATATATACAGAAAAGTTTAAATTGAATGTAATAAGTTATTAATTTATTTCAACAAATCTATGTATCTATGTACCACTTCAATATAAAATATTCCTTAGTATCTGGCTCAGAAAAACTTGTTGGAGACAAGTCCTAAACCCATTTATGGCCAGAACATTATGTGCGCACACAAGGCCATGTTTTGTGTGCCGCGCATGATCAAGTTATGGTATCAAGAAAAATATGAATACAACTTCCTGAAGCCCGGCTTCGATCTATACACCGGTCATTTCACCCAACTGGTTTGGTGGGCAACACAATACCTGGGCGTTGGCGTTGCCTCCAAGTAAGTGACCGATTTTCCATCGCCAGTAATTATAACCCTATTCCTACACAGTGAGAAGCGTATATGGATTGTTTGTTACTTCAATCCACCCGGCAACGTACGCGGCCTCTATAAGAATAATGTATTGCCTCGTAAGCTAATGCTATCGGATTCGGAATCTGAAGATGAAAAGAAACGACATCGACACGCCAAGTCACTATACAAGAAGTTGGTGGAACTGGAGGCCAAGCTGCCGAGAGCACGCTGCTATGAATACATGAAGGCGCCTTGCCAACGTAGACGCTCCTTCATAGGAGCCGCGTGAATTCAAAAGATGGCCATAGTTTTCCCCCAAAAGTAATACAATGTTTATTATGATTTCTGGACCGGCTATCTAATGCTTCTTTAATTATTGAATAAACTGCTTAAAAGTTAGTTTACTTGTATTATGGGCGGCAGTTTCATTTCAACTTTTTGGGCACATTCTGTTTGAAAAGTCCCACAACGTTGCCGGGAGGATCATAATTGCAAACCACCCATGTTCTGTCGTCTCTGTAAGAATTAAGAGTCGAAATCATTTCTACATATATGAAGCATAGCTACGAACTTGCGCGCCACTCCCGAACCCATTTCCTTGCATGACTTCCAAATCAGTTGTGTGAAATGTCCTGAAGTTGGCGAGAACTCGCCCTTTTCAAAGTTGTAGCTATGAATTTCTCGATACCACATTTCCACCGGCAAATCCCCCGTCACATCCATGCCACCCGAAAGAAAAATGTTTTCCCCATACTTGGGATTTGGACGATGCTCCATGGCGTTCCTATCGCGTAGGTTCTGTGAAGAAGATTAATAGTGAATCGTAATGGTATTATAGGAATATTATGTCCATACATTTGCCCACTCTTGAGCGTATTTGTTGAGGCCCTCATTGATCTTTAGTGCTGGACAGCCGTGCATGGCACGGAACTTGTTGGTGGCTGCAAAAACATCCTTTAGAAACTTGTCATTATTGGCCTGCGTGTCACGGCCAATGGGACCGGGTTTACGCGGTTGAGTGTGAGGTATGGGCGCCGGTTTTTTGGCCATGGGCAAGGCACTTACTGGGAATTTTGAGGCACCCCAGGTCCAGAAATGAAATCAACAACTTTTTTGTAAAAACAACAAACAATGTAAGCCTGACATTTTTGTGAGAACACAGCCATCTATTTTTATATAAACTCTCATGTTTAGTTAAAGGACGAGGTGTTTGCAAAGAAAAGAAGTTATGCAGATAGCCAACTGCTTGAAATTATGTATCATATTAAAAACTTTGCCGGGCACTTGCAAATTGTGTTGGCGGCAACTTTCTTTGTAACTTTTCGCAAGTTTTTTTTTTTCTCAGCAATTGAACAGGTTGCGCCCTTTGCTGGGAGTGTGCACCCTTTTGAATATGCTGTACAATTCCTTTTGCTATTTTAGATATACTATATACAAAATTCACCTTTTATATTCAGAAACCGTTTTGCTATCAGTGTCTATATATTCAAAAACGAATCTTGCTCAGCAAGGGCTCATTATTTGCATCTGTTTAATATAAGTGGCTTATAATACAAATACAATTTAAAATGCTTTTTATCTTAATGTTTCCGGATACAAACAAGTTGCTACACAAATTTAGAGTTTTTAAACATAATTAAACAAATTTAAATTTCCATTTTAGAGCAGAAAAACATTTTTTGTTGGTCTAATCCCATGCATAAGCTGCTCTCATTTTGTTACTTTTAATATATTGTACGACTACAACAATAAATAAGAAGAAAATTCCTTTTATTAACAGTGTCCCAAACAAAAATGTATTTAAATTCCTAAACATTTTGGATGGGAGACATTTTTAAAGCATTTGAAATTATTTTTGTAGTGTGGTAATAGTTTAAAGCTATCCATAAACAAAACTTGCCTTAATCTTAAGAATCTTTTGTACAATATTAAAAATTCTGAAATAGAGGTTAACGCCAGTATCTTTAAAATTGGAAAACTGCACTCAGAAATTAAAATACGAGTACTTAGTAGTAATCTGCCTGACACAAGACTAAACGAGTCTCCTTTTTAATCTATTATTTTATTATAAATGTTAGGTATTCGATACCTTGTTAAGTATTATTGTAAAAGTGTCACCTGGTCACATTGATCTTGTGCCCTTTAGCTACACATTTTGAATTGTAACACATTCTGGAAATATACGCGGCCTGATACACAACAGAATTGGCGACGAGGAAAATAAAAGTTAGGAAAATAAAGGTTAAGAAAATAAAAGTTAAAGAAGAACAAATAAATGACCAGCATGACTACAGCAGCACCTATAACTCCACAATTTTATCACATGATAAGCATACCCGAGTTTGTGCCAAACAGTGAAACGTTTGCAATTTGGAAAGAAAAATTTGAAATACACATGTGCGAGCAAAGTGTGAGTGAAGAAAATGCAAAAAAATCAACGTTGTTGAAATCAATTGGAACAGGCCCGTATGGTGTATTACACAGTTTATGCAGTCCAGATTCACCTGTATCAAAGTCATACAAGGAAATTTGCGAAATACTTTCAACGCACTACACACCACCTACACTTGTTTTTCGAGAACGAAAAAAGTTTCATATGGCAGTCAAAGGCGAAAATGAGACAATTGCAGAATGGTATGCCCGTTTAAAACAGTTGGCATGTAGCTGTAAATTTGGTGTCTATTTGGAAGCATTCGTACTTAACCAATTTGTGATGAGTCTTCCTAATGCAATATTTGAACGCATGTGCGAAGAAGATGAACGTCTATCTCTTTCTGACGCACTAAGAAAGGCAATGATAATGGAGACCAAAGATTTTGCAAAGAGGACAGGAGAGAACATCAGTTACGTGAACAGAAGCAGCGCAAATCAAAGAAAAAAGCGAAACTGCAACAATAGAAACAACGGCAGTTATGACACTGGAAGTTTCAAGGGCAACGGAAGATCACATGGGATGAACTTCAAAAGCAGTAGCAGCGACGGTAGTGACGGCGACGCAGGCAGAGGCAAAAAGCAGCAGAAATTCTGTGTGCACTGTGGTTGGAAAAATCATCGATCTGAAGAGTGCAAGTACAAACATCTAAATTGTCACACTTGTGGGAAGAAGGGTCATTTGGCGAGCGTATGTAATTCAAAACGAATAAATTGCGTATCGAATTTACAATCTGAAGATCCTATGTTAGATACTAAGCTAAATGAATTTAATTTTTCTGTATTTAGCGTGGCACCAACTTCTTCTGGTGAGGTTTACGTGTTACCGGTTACAATTGATGGTTGTAACATGAACGTCACTTGCGATACTGGAGCATCTTGTACAATTATTCCATATTCAGTTTATGAGAAGGCAGTGATGAAGAAGCCGCTCAGAGAATGTAATGTTCCGTACATGGACTACAATGGTCGTCTTATTGAAATTGTCGGTGAGTACGATGCAACAATTGAATATCGAGGCATAAGAAAAGAAATGGTTATAGTAGTTGCGAAAACAATGAGTCCAGCTTTACTTGGTAGAACATTTTTGAGATCGTTTAATTTTGAATTAGTTCAAGTTAACAATGTTAGCGAAAGTGAACAACTCTCTGTACTTACAAAACAAATAAAAAGTGAATTTGCAGATGTGTTTAGACCCGAATTAGGTTCTTTTAATGGGAGCAAAATTATGTTACAAATAGCGGAAAACACCAAGCCAATATTTTTCAAGCCTAGGCCGCTACCATTAGCATGGAAAGACCGCGTTGAACAAAAATTACGCGCTTTGATTGAGTTAGGAGTTTTAGAACAAGTTGATAGTTCTGATTGGGGAACCCCATTGGTTCCGATTCTTAAGCCAGATGGTGATATAAGAATTTGTGGAGACTACAAAGTTTCCGTAAATAGATCATTAGTCGATGTACGATATCCGTTACCACGAATTGATGATATTTTTGCAGCACTTCAAGGAGGCGTATTATACACTAAACTTGATTTAAGCAATGCTTATAACCAGTTGCACCTAGATGAGCAATCTCAGTTGTTGTGCACATGGAGCACACATATTGGACTTTTAAAAGTCAAACGATTACCTTTTGGTATAAAAACAGCAGCAGCAATATTCCAAAAGACAATGGAATGTTTATTCCAAGGAATAAAAGGAGTCGTAGTTTATCAGGACGACATTACAGTAACAGGAAGCAATCTTCAAGAACACATTTCAAATTTAAAAACAGTTCTTAGCAAGCTGAAATCAGCCGGACTAACTTTAAATGCAAACAAATGTGAATTTTTCAAATCTAAAATTCGTTACTTAGGGTTCTCAATAGACAGGTACGGATTAAGCAAAAATGTTGATAGAGTTTCCAGCGTTTTACTAGCACCCACACCTAAAAATGTATCTGAATTACGAGCATTCATTGGAATGGTGAATTATTATTCAAAGTTTGTTAAAAACTTCGCACAGATAATGAGTCCATTATATGTACTTTTGCAGAAAGATTCAAAATTTGTTTGGACAGTTGAATGTAACAAAGCATATGAGAGAATTAAAAGTGAGATAACTTCAGAACAAGTCTTAGTGCATTATGACGCAAACTTGCCTATTGTCTTAACGACTGATGCCAGTAGTAATGCCGTATCTGGCGTACTAGCACATAGATTTGCTGATGGTCTTAAACCGATAGCATTTGTTTCCAGAGCCTTATCAAAAAGTGAAATTAATTATAGCACACTGGATAAGGAAGCTCTCGCGATTGTATATAGTGTAATGAAGTTGAAACAATACCTTCTAGGGATCAAGTTCATCTTGAGAACTGATCATAAGCCCCTCTTGGGAATATTTGGAGATAAAAAAGGATTGCCACTTATGGCGTCTGCACGTTTGCAGAGGTGGGCTTTAATATTGTCAGGATTTCAGTACACAGTTGAACACATAAAGGGTTCATTAAACGAGGCTGACGGACTTTCAAGGATGCCTCAGTTATACAAATCAAACGAAGATGAGGAATACAATTATATTAACTTCATTCAATCTGATATACCGTTTAAATTGAATTTCAAGAGTATTGCTCGTGAAACAAGGCATGATTCAATCCTTTCAAAGGTGTGCGAAGCCATTAAAATTGGATCGCTACAAAAATTAAACAAGGCTGAATTCTCAAATTTCATAAATAAAGCAAATGAGCTAACAGTTGAGTACGATTGTATCTTATGGGGTCATCGTGTAATAGTTCCAACAAAACTTAGGAATCAAGTTTTACAAGAGTTCCACAAATCTCATTTAGGAATGGTGAAAACAAAAATGTTAGCACGCTCATACGTATGGTGGCCAAATATGGATTTAGAAATTGAAAATTTAATAAGAGAATGTATCGCATGTCAGGAATCACAACCAAGTCCAGAAAAGTCTACTTTGATACCGTGGAAATCAAATGGTCAGGTATGGAGTAGAATACACGTAGATTTTGCAGGACCAATAAATAATTTTTATTTATTGATATGTGTAGATTCTTTCTCTAAATGGGTAGAAGTTTTTAAAACAAAGGAAATTACGTCATCGTTTACAATAAAAACCTTAAGAGAATTATTTTGTAGATATGGTCTAGTTGATGTATTAGTGTCTGATAATGGTAGACAATTTACTTCAGAGGAATTTCGCATTTTCATGGCCAACAATGGCATAAAGCATGTTTTGACAGCTCCTGGTCATCCAGCGACAAATGGCCAAGCTGAAAACTTTGTAAAGACTGTAAAAAAATCAATAAATGCAAGCATTAAAGTTAACAGCAATTCTAGTTTTGACATAATCCTGAATAGATTTTTAATAGATTACAGAAACACGATTCATTGCACGACCGGCGAATCGCCAGCCAAACTTTTCTTTGGTAGACAACTAAAGACCAGATTTTCGTTTTTAAAACCTCCAATTGTACATGATCAAATAAGCAAAAAGCAGGAGGATAGTGTCATGAGTTACAGAGGTAATCGCGACATAAGATTTAAAGAAGGTCAAAAGGTTATGGTCAGGGACTATAAAAATCCTAACAAGGCAAGTTGGACTCAAGCAACAGTTAGCCAACAATTGGGACCTCGATCTTATTGTTGTATCTTAACTCATAACAATCGTGAAATAAAACGACATTTAAA